GGTACCATTTACAACTCCTCAATGCCCAATTGATAACAAGCACTCCACGTCGCATAAGATTGAGTAGGAAGGAAATAAAGGCATAAGCCTCAAAGGAATCAAAATCGCACGATGAGGAATCAAGAAGGGAAGTGCTCCTACAGCCCCGTAGCCTCTCAAAGTACAAACGTCTCCATACCAATTCGCAAGACTTTACTAGACTTGCTCATGACTTGTGAGACCCAAGTGAACCTAACGCTCTGATACCAAGTTGTCACGACTCAAAATCTACTATAGGTCGTGATGGCGCATAACGTCGCTGTCAGGCAAGCCAACGGTGATTGATCAATTTGATTACTCATTTTCATTACTTTCAAAATCATGAATTTTAAATAAGGAAGAAAATTTATACAGAACTGCAAGCATTAACTAGTATATCCCAAACCCCAGTATAACAAGTGCATGAACATTTACTAAGGAGTACCATAATAATACAACATCTGTCTAGAATGTAAATGAGATAGAATACAATAAATAGTATGATGGAGACTCTATGGACTGCGATGCGTAGCCTGAAATGCAACTCACATAAAAGTCTCCTCAACAGATGCGCCCACGCGCCCATATGATCACCAAATGAACTTGTCAAATCCTGCATATTTAGTACAAAAGTGCAGCATGAGTACGTAAATTAACGTGTACCCAGTAAATAACTAGCCAAACCCAGGAGAAGTAGTGACGAGAGATCGACATCGACACTTACTAGAGGTCCAACAAAGAAATATAATAAAACAATAAGCAGATGTGAAGCACACATCCATAATGGGGTAAATCTGTAAGTTACCTAATTTTCCAAATATTTCTTTTAAAGTACAAATTTCTCAATCTTGTATTCTACCTCATCAGTTCAGATATATCAAGTACTAGTAACAAACGGATAAGAAGTACCATGTAAAATATTGGGCATAAGTGGAAGGATAATCTCGTGCATGTTCGTACTACCAGCAATATGACGCATGGTTATGCCGAGGTCTTTCAACCCGATCCAGAATAATGTGTACACTGCCGAGGGTTGAGTGGCACGAACCATAGATGTATCTATTATACTGCCGAGGCGTTGGTCCACTCACAAGAAAGGAAGGAAGTTATCGAATTACGAGACACTTACTTACAATATAGTACACGAGCACAAAGTGAATATAATCTTTACCGTTTATCAAATAACTAGCCAACAACTCAAGGTGATAAGGCTCGGACTAGTATACATATGTTTATTTCTATATCAATTTCAATTATAAGTTCAAATAATTTAGCCAACGGGATGAGTTCAAATAATTCAATTATTACATGATAAGGTCCTAAGTCTACCCGGACATAAACATGTTTTAGCTACGTACGTTCTCTCGTCACCTCGTGCGTACGTAGCACCCACAACTAGTATCACATAGCAATTACATCACCAAGGGGGTAGTTTCCCCCTCAGAGGGTTAGACAAGAGACTTATCTCGCTCCGAAGTTTCATAACCGGCTCCAACACCTCTCTAACACCTCAACTCAAAGCCAAACATCCCGAAACTAGTCAAACAACGTGTAAATCAATCAAAATATACTCCAATGCTTACAATTTAACAATTCATAACAATCCTAAACTCCGCTCTAAAAGTCAATAAAGTCAACCCCTAGGCCCATGTGCCCGGATTTTAAAATATTTCGAAGCTAAACTTTATCCATAACACCACGAACTCAGATATATAATTTATTCCAAGTTCCATATCCAATTTCATGGTCAAAATCCAAAAATACCAAATTTCTAGGTTTCTTTCAAAATCTCACAATTTCTGCTAATTTCCATGTTTAAATCCACATATAATCCATGTATTTCACTAAACTTATTTGGAAATTACTTACCTTGCAATGGTTGATGAAAATCTCCCCTTCAAGCTCTCCAAAAATTGCCCAAGCCAAGAGAGAATGAAAGAAAATGGGCCAAATCCCGTATAAAATCAAGTCTGCCCAGCGCTTCCTCGCATCTACGGTCCCATGGTCGCTTCTGCGATGCCCCATCCGCAGGTGCGGTTCCGCTTCTACGGAAATTCGACCGCATCTGCGGTCCCAGCCTTCCCCCAGCAAATCCGCTTCTGCGCTTGCCTGGCCACTTCTGGGGAGTCGTATATGCGGCCCTTTTTCCGCAGGTGTGATTGCATCAGTACCCAGCCCTTCAACAATACAACCAAGCTCCAAAGTGATCCGCGACTCATACGAAACATACCCGAGACCCCCCGGGACCCTATCCGAACTTACCAATAAGTTCTATGACATAACACGGACCTACTCGAGGCCTCAAATCACACCAAAAAATATCAAAATTGTGAATCGACGATCGAAATCTTTCTTTAAACTTTCAAACTGTTTAACTTCGACGAACGCGTCCGAATAATATCAAAACATTTCGGAATGACGCCAAACTTTGCGCACGACTCATAAATCACAATACGAACCTATTCCAAGGCTCAGAATCCCAAACGGACTTCGATAACACCAAAGTCCACTTCAATTCAAACTTAAGAAATTCTTAAAATCTTCAAAATGTCAACTTCCACAATAAGCGCTGAAATATTTTCGGACCACCCTATACTCAACCCGAACATACGCCCAAGTCCGAAATCATCATACGAACCTATTGGAACCTTCAAACCCTGATTCTGAAGTAGTTACTCAAGAGTCAAACCTTAGTCGATTCTTTCAACTTAAAGCTTCCGAAAATAGAATTTTCTTTCCAAATCAACTCCAAACTTTCCGAAATTCAATTCTGACCACACGTACAAGTCATAATACCTGAGGTAAAGCTACCCAAGGCCTCAAACCGCCGAACGTCGCACTAGAGCTCAAAACGACCGTACGGGTCATTACATCATAGAAATATCATTTGATTGAACAGTGTAATGCGCATTTAACTTTACATGAGCACTTGAGTATGTGCGTTGCATGTATATTTTATGTTAGTTATTACAAAATTTGTGTCTGATAGTTTACCAATAATTAAATATTCTTTACCAATATTATTTTATGAAAATGCTAAATTTATTCGAACCTTTCACCTTTATTATTAAAAAAAGACTCCTAAACCTAAAAGGGGTACAAAGTGTTCGACACTACCCTAATGTGAATTGCAATATTTTTTAATTATCCCCTTCTTTAATCCGCCTTTTAGTTCTTTTTTGTTTCTTTTAGTTTCCTCTTTATAATTTTCGTTTTTTTTTGTTTTTTTTTCATCTATTTAATGTTTTTTTTTGGTGAAAACCCACTAAACGGGAGAAATAAAGAAATTTGTCTAGACTTCAGATTTTAATTTCTTCTATTATTTAATATTTATTGAGAATACACATATCTTATATGTCTTGAAAAGTTTAGAATTATACTGATAATTTTATTAACAAAAACTATTCCTAAATCTACCAAGATGTTCAAAACCCAAAAAACTTGTACAGTAACTATGTTAAATTTGCATTTTTGTTTAAAGATTTTAACCCTACAAAGGTGGACTTCTTTCACAAGTATGGTTATATATCATCTTTTACAAATATGATTATATATCAAATAAGGAAAAATTTAATACATAAAATTATATTAAGTTTGAAGTCCTAAATAATAGAGAAATAATTAAAGTCCTAAATATTAGAAAAATTATAAATGACTGTTTTGTCTAGTGTAACATCTATTTTAAAAAAATAAGGGCGAACGACATTTCGCTAAGGGCCTTCGTGCTTTTAATATAGTAGAGATAGATATATATTCTAATTAAATATATTGTTTAAATAAAAGTGACTGGGTTCGGTCGCACCTGCACCTAGGGGTGTACAAAAAAAATCGATAAACCGCACCAAACCGATAATCCGAGTCAAACCGAAAAAAAATCCCGATATGGTTTGGTTTGATTGGTTTGGTATTGAAAATAAAATCCGACCATAATTGGTTTGGTTTGGTTTTAACTAAAAAAAAATCAAACCGAAACTAAATTAATCCGATAGTACATTTATATAATTTTTAAAAATATTTTATACATATAAATATTTATTGTAATATAATTTATAAATTTTTCTTAAACCTTTTTCATAGTTTTATCTTTTAACGTATTATTTCAAGTTTAGACTTAACATTCTTGAATGATAAATAAATTTTATAGCCAATAAATGTAGTAACTCAACAAAGTTCAAAATATTAATGCTAACAAAAGAAATTCAATTCAATACTAGGAATGACGAAAGTGTTGGATAATTATTTTAGTTTGATATTGGTTTATAATGAAAATGCGTAACTTAGTTTATCTTTTTTTTTTGTGCTTAGTTATGTAATTAATATTAGTACTTATTAGCTATACTTATTTTAGCATGACCTATATAGTATTTTTAGATTATGTTAATTTTCATTATGGCTTATTAATTAGCAATATTTATTTTATGTAATTTTATTATTTTATCTTTGTTATTGAATATTTTTGTATAATGCTATGACTTATCTCATATTATTGTGTTAGTTTTTTGGAAAACACATTATATAATTATATTTTACTAGGATTTAAGAAATATTTGGAGCACAACTTACATATTTTTATGATATGAAGACTTTACCGGAAAAAATCTGAAAAAATCCGAAAAACCCGAGAAAAACCAAGATTGAAAAATCTGATTTTGTTGGTTTGGTTTGGTTTATAAATTTAAAAATCCGACACCATTAATTTGGTTTGATAATTGAAAAATCCGAACCAACCCAACCTATGTACACCCATACCTGCACCTAATAAGCTAACTTCGTCTCTGCCTGTGACAATAATATACGTACCGATAGTTAAAAAATAGAGTGATAATTACAGAATAGATTATTGATCTATTTTTATAAGTTATGTACAAAATTTTAAGTAATCTGATAATATAAAAATTCTCAACACAATTAGAGCATAGTGGTTAATCTCTTCCTATATAAACTCAACAGTGTACTCTAGAATCTCGTCATCTTCACAAAAAATGTCGAACTACTTTCTCATTTGCGTTCTCACTATATCTCTTTTCGTGGCAGTAGTAGCTACCGCCATTGAGTCGTCGTCGGAGCTGTCTGTCCCCGCCGGCTGCCCTGTGCCGGACCCTAGACTTAATTACCGGCCAGTGATCGGGATTGTTAGCCATCCCGGTGACGGAGCCTCGGGTCGAATAGTTAATTCCACGAGCGTTTCCTACATTGCTGCTTCGTATGTGAAGTTTGTCGAGTCGGCTGGTGCTAGGGTCATTCCACTTTTGTTTGAGGATTCTCCTCAAGTTCTCAATCAAGTTTAGTCACCTATTTTACCCGCTATTTTTGAACTCCTATTTTAAGGCTTTTGCATCGCATTCTTTTAGTTCAAGTGGTTACTATTCTACTGTTTTTAAAAGAAATTGGTTACTACTCTTTATGGTCACATTTTATATGATACTATGCTATTAGACGCGAGTTTAAACTATTACCTTGACCTGTTAATGTATAAGTAGCATGTAGAAGAAGATATTGATGTAGTAGTTGGAAAATTATTAAGAAACTCAAAAAGGACATCAGGTCGACAATAGTGGTTGCTTTAGTAGTGGTAAGGTCTGCGTACACACTACCCTCTTCAGACCTTATTAGTGGAATTATACTGGGTTGCTATTGTTGTAAAAGACGTCACGTAAAACTTAATTAAGTAGTGTATTTCATGTGACATGCTAGTAAAGGGGAAGTATCTCAGCTTACGAATTTCAAACTAAATAAATTCCTCTTCCCCTTCTAAATATATTCACGGTAAATTAAATGATTATTCAACCTTCATTACTGACGCATTTTTCTCCTTTTATTAACCTTCACATGAAGCGGTGTGATAAAGAAAACTTGCTAATATAAGTGTGACGTGTTAATTATTCCCCTCCAATTGATTATCTGGTTAGCTTTAAGGTGAGCTTCAAATTAACATCAGTGTCCCGATATCTGGTTGGGAAAGAATCAACTTCCGCTCAAATTTGAAAAATGGGACGAAAGTCCTCCTTAACAATATGGTGGAGTCGCGCAAAATCGAGTTAAATGAATTGAGGATAAGAAAAGTTAATTCAATTTTTAAAATTGTTGACTTTACTATTTTCATTAATATATATGACTTTACATTATCTTTTATAAATTTTGGTTGCATTATTTATTATTTAGATTTGTGTATCAACTATCATATATGTACTTTTCTAATCTCTAGTTTTTATTAGATTCGGTTAAGAGCCACTTTGATATTCCTTAAATTATTTTGTTGTGAAATAGCAAAAATTTAAAACGTTTTCAAAATGTTTGTGAACCCAAAAACGTAAGATTTGAGTTTATTAATTTGTGAAACAAAAGGAAACCTCATACAACTTGCGTTAATTGTGTGAGGCACAACAAAAAAAAGTTATGACCCTCTTAAATTGGACATATTTGTTGGCCTGAAAAAGAAAAACTTGGAACCTAGTTTTTGAAAGGTCGTTCATTTTCCCATAAGTTGCAGTTAGTTGCTAACGTCTATGTTTATTTGCAGAAACTTAATCTAGTTAATGGCGTGATCTTCCCAGGAGGATGGGCCAAGAAGGGTAAATATTTTGAGACTATCAAAGCAATTTTCAAGGTAAATATTTACCTTATCGAAATCTATCCTGAAGTAAATTTGTTACTATTTCGTAAATAATTCTTATCTGTCATATTAGAGGAATTTTTGAAGGAAGCTGAAACCGAGTTAACAGAAACTTACCAATTTAACTATAATATGTTCTGATATTTCTACATTTTTCTTCCTGATATTTGCAGAAAGTTTTGGAGAAGAATGATGCCGATGAACATTTCCCTCTCCTCGCCATCAACCTCGGATTTGAGCTTTTGATGATGATCGTCTCTAAGGTAATTCAAGAATTAGGAGCTTAGTGCACCGGGCTGTCCTTGTTGTATCACATTATTTGTCACCTTGGCTTTCAAACTCAATAAGTAAAAAACATTTGTTACATCTTTTTATTAAGGCTGTTTTAATTATTGAGTAATTCTGACAGTTGCTGTTTCCATTTTTTGACTTCCTTTGTAACAGGACAACAATATTCTTGAGAAATTCAGTGTATCAAATCAGGCATCTAAACTTCATTTCGTGGAAACCGTGAATATTGAAGATACAGTATTTGGGAGGTATTCCTAATTTTAATTATTACTTACTAGTTATTTGCCAATCTAATTATTTACCAAGGACCGTAAACAGATATGGATCAATACCGCAGTTGTTTGTATACTAGGGTGTTAAAATAAGTGATTAGGAGGCATCTGCTGTCACGGGCCCAAATTCTTACATTGGGTAGCGGCACCTGCTCGCCCGTGCGACGCCTGCAGTTCCCCTCGCTGCAGGCCAGCCTTATTCCTGTCCCAGGATTTCTCAATCACGATCCTGTACCTGTTGGTGGGACTCGCCCGTAGGCTCGCCCCAACTTGTGCCGCCCGTAAGATGCCTAGGCCCTTGGTCCTAGACATGTCGTGGCGCTCCATCTTAGGATCCCAATCCATGCGCGCCCTGGGGGGTTGGCTTAGGACATGCTTTGTCCTTAGCTCAAGACTGAGCATCGCTCCCGCGTGCACAGCCCAATCCTCAAGCTTAACACTCGCCTAGTGCATCCGCGACTAGCTCGTGCCTCGCCCGAGTAAGGCAACTTTTAGCCCTTGGCCATTGTCATGCGCCTCTTTCGTGCCATGCCCATACATAGCCCTCTTGCAGCACGCTTCCATTTCGAAGTAGTGTAGTGTCGCCCACACCTACACCTTTAGGCCAACGGACCATTGCTTGCATGGTTGAACCAAAGCCATGCTCACAAGTCGACACATGATGCCCCTATGACAGGTGCGTCAAGTATCCAATCGGCACGGAGGTCTCGTTCTAACATTCGGCAGCCTGCGGGGCTGGCCGTTCCACACTTCGAGCCTCCAGCGCCACTTTGGTGCCCAACGCTGGCCCAAAGGCGTTGCGCCGTCCACACGAGTTCCCAAACTCGTGTGGATGCCTTCGACACTCCTTTGAGATATCTAGGCAGGCCCTTGGGGTTCGCCCTNCTAGGCAGGCCCTTGAGGTTGCCCCCAAGGCAGCTCGTTCGATACGGTTCGGTGGCAGCACGTATGGGGGAGGCAGGTCGGAGCTTTCATCACCTATACCCCCCTTATATATGCTTAAAATTAAAAAGCCCAAGTTGCCCGAGTAGACTGCTCTACGTCAGACCATCAGAAGTACCTTTTCTCACCAGTTCTTGGCCGAAATCACAACTCCAAAATGCGAGTTGTGATATCCTCCCACACTCATAATGTCATCGTCCCCGATGACACATCATGGCTTAAGA